TTTTTTTTTGTTATAGCATCAAAATTCTTCCCAGTTTTTCTTTGCACATTTCAATATGCATGGTTTAAAAACCAAATCTTCTCTACCTTTTGTACAGTAAGGTCTCATTTTCAAACTGTATAGTTTCATTTTATTGTTTTCTGCTTTGTCGGTTATATACAGTATAAAGTTGCTATGCACAGAGCTTTTTGTAAAGACAGCCTTTTTGTTTACTGTTTTTAATGGTCTTACTTATGAAAGAATATCTTGTTTGTAAAATGAATATGTCTACTTCAGTTTTAAACTTTAAATTATCCTAACAAAAAAATAAAATTTTTGTACTGTAACAATGACCTTTGTTTCTTTTTTAAGTGGAAGCGATTTAGTTTGAGGTTTGTTCTTGAATTTAGGAGTTTCCTCATGTCTGCTAATCTCTCAGCTTTTCTTCTGATTAAGGAAAACCTACCACAGCTTTTGCCTACATGATAGTGTACAAAGCTACTTAGCTAGAGAAAAGCTATGATGACGTCAAGTCAATTTTCTGCATGTGTTTATCCATCTGATCAAAGCCTTTCCTAACCCTCCCAAACTCAAGGATGCACAGAACTCTTGAGATGTCTAATAGTCTATATTATAATTTGAACTCACTTGTTGCACAAATGTAATTTGATCCATTAGACACTAGGTGAAGAATTGGAGGCAGAAAAACTTGATGCCGATCTGAAATCATGGGAAAGGGGCAAGACACATGTCTCTAAAAGGAGTCAGAAGATAACTCATATGGAAGATAGAGGGGTTGGGGTTGTCATACAGGCTCTGTGAATTCAGCAACAAGAACGTTCACATGGACTTTGGAGTCACCCAGACTTGTGAATCCTAGCTTTCCCACTTGCCTGCATGAGGAGGGAAGGAGCAAAGGGACCAGCATCCTCTCGTTCATCATCTTTAAAGAAGCAGAATTTCAGGCTGGAGAGATTGCTCAGTGGTTAAGAGTGCACACTGCCATCATAGAGAACCCAAGTTTGTTTCCCAGCACTCTCAGGGTGGCTCACTACCACCTGTAACTCCAACTCCAGGTGATCTGATGCCCTCTTTTGGCCTCTGTAGGCACTGCACACACCGGTGCATATAAGTATGCGGACACACACATACACATAATTGAAAATAAATTTTTTGAAAAGCAGAATTTCAGTGCTTGGGTGTGCTTTAGGTCAGTTAACACTTTCCTCTCAAGGGCCACAGCTGGAGCCACCAGGTTCTGAGAAGGGAAGCAGTTAGGGCACAGAGTTTACTCCAACTGGCGTGTAGGCAAAAATGTGAATAGTACTGGAATGCTTGTTAGGCTGTAGATGCCCTTTGATTCAGTGAAAATTAGGTAGCAGCATAGGTGCCGGTCCTGGCATCCAGTGAGCTCAGTGGAAGTTGTCCTGGGAAGACACAGTCCCAGTCCTTAGGAAGCCCTAAAACCAGTCTGTGTTTTCTTGTATTAAAGTTAATACGATTTAATTTTTTTTGTCATAGTTTGGAACATCTGGTGTGTCATGGGTATGACTTTTAAGGACAAAGCTGACATTGTTTTCAATTCCAGATTCTCACAAGCCCAAGAGTTTGAGGCCGTGAAAAATTGCTTTTAAAACAGGCATGAGACCAAAATGATTTCCAGTGTCAAATCCAGCAATTTACCAATTCTGAATCAAGGAAGAGCTCAAGAGTTGCATATAACTATTAGGTGCTGCAAGAATCGAGACTACATGGGTTCAAAGTGCTACCTATGACTATTAAGTATGAACAGCGCCCGTTGCCAACCAGCAAGACAGTAACTAGGCCAATGGGACTCTGCTCTCCAGTCTTGACAGCTCTTTGAACATTGGAGGCAGCAGCCCTGAGTTCTAATCCCACTTCCTCCCATCACAGAAACTAACCAAAACTTAAACATATGAACTGCAGGCTCTCCATCTATAAAAACGGAGCTAAAGAGACCTTGATGCCAAGATCCTTTCCCTGCCTAGGTTGGGGTGAGGTTTAAGTGAAAATAACCCATGTCAAAGTGGCAGACACAGCAAGGGTTCAGCTCTATTGCGTTTTTTTCTTTCCCCTTAGCTAGTACTAAAAATTGCCATGTGTTCATCTGAAAAGCCTCCCATCACTCTTTTCTTACAGCTCATCCCTGGCTGCACTGACAAGGGGATTATTAATTAGTCAGTGTTTGTGAAACATTCAGAAAATGAAAGTGCTGAGCGCAGGAACAGCGCCATTTACATCACAATTCACAAGCTGGCAGCGCCTTCAACTGGATCCACTGTCAAGATAAGGCTCCTAATAGATGTGTTCCGGTCTTCTGACAGTCATTGTTGTGGGCGTGGCCTGTGTGGCTCGCCATAGCCAGCCTGTGCAGTCAGCCATCTTTCTGCAGAGAGCAGTGTAGATAACCAGCTAATCCTACACTGAAAAGTCACTGAAAGGAAGTGTGAAGTTTATCTACCTGAAATCTACAACTAACTCTAAATCTCTAAATCACTTTGTAATCTCAAGGCTCACGTGTTTCATGTGTTGGAGTTCTCTGTCTCTAACTGGTAGTGCTGTTTGGGATGGTTCTGGAACCATTAGGAGGGGGAGCCTCAGTGGAGGAAGTAGGTCACTGGGGGTACGTCTTAAGGTTTTGTTGCCCAGCCCTACTTCGTGTTTGTTCTCTGCTTCCTGTCTGGGGTGAGGGGAAGGCGAGGAGTTACAATGTACTCAGCTGCCCCCTGCTTGTGCTGCCATGCCGTCCCATCCCCAATGGACTGTATCCCTAGAACTCTAAACCAAAATAAACATTTCCCACTTAAGTTGCTTCTTGTGAGATATTTAGGTCCCAGCAATGAGAAAAATAACAAGTTCTTGGGATTCAGAAAGGTAAGAAAATCAACTTCACAGAGATAAATGCAGCATCTCTTAAGGTAGAGGATGCCTTAAGGAACATGATATGTCCTGAGGAGTTGGGAGTTGGGCATCTCCAGTGCTGAACTCCAACATTTGGTTTGCCTCTTCTGGTGGCACTGGGGAGGTTCTGTTTGTTTTAACAAAACAGCATCTGTCACTCTAAATTAATGTTATTATTGACTGTATCAATTTTGTGATTTTGATTCTTTTTACTTTGTGAATTCCTTTGATTAAAACAAACACATAGAAAAGCACAAGAATTTCATTTTAAATTTTAACTTTGTGCAAATTCAGTACCATTATAATTGAAGAATGCCCTGATGGCCTTTTAAGGATTTCCCCCTTGTTTTTTATGAATATAAAATTCTTAATTTATAAATCTGTCTCTCAAACTTGAGAAACTCTGAACTTCAAAAATGAGATGTGAGGAAAAGCTTGGTAATCTACAAATTGGGTCACCACTCCTTGAGTAATCAGGACTTGGCTGAATGTGGATTCCTGTGTGCTGTGCTTCTGCTTCAAGAAAAGAACTTGCCGTGTCTTATTCCAAGTATTTCATTCTTGCCTCTGAATTATGTTCATATCCACAAATCCCAGCCAAGGGCCTATTGAATAATTGTCCCCACATGTAACATTTTCCCGGTGATGTTTTCCTTTCTTTGGTCCTGTGAAATATAGAAATGTGTTTCTAATTA